CCAGCGAGCTTGGGGCGCAGGGAGCCCGGAGCTGACTCTGTCTTCATGCCCCCAGGAAGAGGGGCTTCCACACGTTCGTGCTGCGGCCGCACTGCGGGGAGGCCGGGCCCATCCACCACCTGGTGTCCGCCTTCATGCTGGCCGAGAACATCTCGCACGGGCTGCTTCTGCGCAAGGTCCGGGCTGCACCCCAGCCTCCCTCCCAGGGGGCCCCCTTCCCCGACCCTTTGGGCCCCCTCCCCTCCGCAGCCTCCGCACTGAGGCCCCAGCCTGGATCCTGGCAGTAACTGACCCTCCACTGACCAGGCCCCACCGGGACTCCCCCAACACGCCTGCATCCTGTGTCCCCCAGAACCTGGTGCCCCCCAGCCCCGAGACACCTGACCGGCCTCCCTCCCTGTCGCCGCCCAGGCCCCGGTCCTGCAGTACCTGTACTACCTGGCCCAGATCGGCATCGCCATGTCGCCGCTCAGCAACAACAGCCTCTTCCTCAGCTACCACCGCAACCCGCTGCCCGAGTACCTGTCCCGCGGCCTCATGGTCTCACTGTCCACCGACGACCCCCTGCAGTTCCACTTCACCAAGGTCAGACCCCAGGGCGGCAGGCAGGGACACCCCAGCTCTGGGCTCTCAGGGCTGGTGCTGCCCCCTGCTGGGGGAGCGCAGCAGGCCAGGGCGAGTCCCCGGGGAGGGCTGGCGCCGCAGGGCCTGGGGCCACGGGTCTGAGGGAGCCTGCCTGTGCAGGAGCCGCTGATGGAGGAATACAGCATCGCCACCCAGGTGTGGAAGCTCAGCTCCTGCGACATGTGTGAGCTGGCCCGCAACAGCGTGCTCATGAGCGGCTTCTCCCACAAGGTACCACCCCCCCTCCCTGCCTCCGCTGGGAAGTCCCAGGGTCCTGGGGCATGGCCCCCCAGAGCCGGCTGCAGCCTGCCGCTCCCCCCGCCCCCTGCAGGTGAAGAGCCACTGGCTGGGACCCAACTACACCAAAGAGGGCCCCGAGGGCAACGACATCCGCCGCACCAACGTGCCCGACATCCGCGTGGGCTACCGGCACGAGACCCTGTGCCAGGAGCTGGCGCTCATCACGCAGGCCGTGCAGAGTGAGATGCTGGAGACCATCCCGGAGGAGCCGGGCCTCACCATGAGCCCGGGGCCCCAGTGAGCCCGGCCACGGGGGCCCGCATCCCAGCGCCTTGACCACGTTCTGTCCTCGGACCCCCCCCCCCACCTGTCGTGGCCTCTGCATGTGTTCGTTCTCTGTTGCCCTGCATGTCTCCGTCCTCTGTCTCCGTGCCTCCCCCGGAAGCGGGGCCCAGGATGCGCTCCGCCCTTTCTTGGCTCAGGTGGCACCCCATGGCCCAAGTTTGAGGGCCGCCCTGTTGGTGGCCCTGTCCCCAGACCCTCCGAAGCCTGGCCAGGGCTGGTTGTGGGGGGCTGGCCCCTCCGGCCTTTGGAGTCCTGCCTGGGCAAGTCTGAGCGTTGGCCAGGGGTGGAGTTGACCCCCCGTCTTGTTTACGTGGCTGAAGTCCAAGGTGGGGCCTGTGCACATCTGCTGTGGGCACGGGGCTGCCGGGCCTGGGGGGCTCCGGCGGGGGTTAGTTAGCGCTGGGCTGAGAGCAGGCGGAGCCCTGGCATCCTGGGCTTGGGCTTGGGCCTGGCGGCGCGGGACCACCACCTCTGCCCAGTCGGTGCCCGGCAGCCTTCTCTGTCCTTCCTCTGGGCCCTGTGCTCTGCTGTCCGCTTCCTGGGCCATGTCTGGGGCCAGTGCCGCTGGAGGCTCCTGGATCTGCCACCGGCCCTGGGGGTGGCCCCTCCAATGTGGTCCCTAGAGTTCTGACCAGACCTGAGTCCTGGCTGGTCCCCTGTGCTGTTGTGTGGACCGAGGCCTTCGCTGTGAAACGCAGTGTTTCGTACAATCCCGTCCCTCCTAGTGCATGAGAAATAAAGAGTATTTAAGTAAAGAGGCAGGTGGGGTCTCTGTGGGGAGAGGGGCAGCCGTGTCCGTGGCTGAGGTCAAGCCAGGAGCACTGTGGAGGGAAGGACGGGATTCCTAGGGGAGCGACGGGGCCTGGCCGATGTGTGTGCTGGTGCACACGGAAGCTGTGGGAGGGAGAAGAGGCCCACGGGGGGCACCCGCCTGCCATCACAGGCCTCGCCCAGCCTGGCCCCTCTGAAGCGACACTGCCCATCTGCTGCAGCCCCATGGCACCGCCTGGGAGGTGTGGGCCTGTGCACTGACAAGCAGACCTAGGCCGTGGGCCTCACACTCTGACGCCTGCACATCCGGGGAGCTTGTTTAAAATGCCACTTCCAGGCCCCACCCTCCGATCCCCATTCAGCGAGCGGAAGGTGCAGCGTGGAAATTGAACCCGCTCGGCTTCTGTCCCGTGTTTAACACACAACATCTGGAGCGCCTGCAGGGAGGGAAGCGAGTGTGCCCTGTGCTGGGCAGGGTCCCGGGTTGGCGCCGAGAAGCCTGTCCCTGCTGCTGCTGAGTGGGGCGGATGACGGGCTGGCCGTTTCGGAAGCAATTAGCCCGAGAACAGCGCGATCCGAGCAATTGAAGGCCTGGTGAAAGCTGGCTTCCTCCTCCCCTCTTGTCAGCTTGCTTGGCCCAGCCTGCGGCGTCTGTGCCAGCCACCTCCTGGCATGACACTCGCCCAGTGTCCCCGGGCAGAAGCTCTCCTCGTGCCCTTGCCTCCGGAGGGCCCCTGGAGGGCCAGGCCTGCCCCTGGCCAAGACCCAGGTCCTCCAGTCTCCAGAAGGCTCTTGTCGGTTTCCTGTCGCCGCATCAGGGCTGGCTGAGGAGCTAGAGGCTGGACAGCTCTGGCTCGTTTCTGTTGGGGAAACAGCAGGTGCAAGTGGCCGGTGGCAGAACCAGGACGGAAGCCAGGAGAGCTCAGCACCCAGGCTCCTCCACCCCACGCTGGGTCCCCTCTGCCTGAAGGACACTGCTGTTCCAGGGTGAGGGGAGCTCCTTTCCAAGGTGTTCCATCCATTTCATAATAAAAACGTGCTCCGTCTTCTCTTCGTTTGCAAAACGAGGGAGCAGGATTGGAGGATCTTTCTAGAAGGTTCCTTGAAAGGAAGAATTGCCTGCTTCGTGTGCCAGCATCAGGACAGCAAGGACTCCATGTTTACTCACTGGGTTTGTCGTGTGATAGAAGCCTTCATGTCATTTTCTCGTCCTCTGTACAGTCTTCTCCTGTGTGCGGAGACCCAGCCCTGAGAACACTACCAATTCCAAGCGTTTCTTTGCAAGCTCCCCACTATTTTTTTTTTTAAAAAAAACAACTTGCTTCTGGATTTTTTTGGTTCTCTGAAATCTCTTTCAAACATTTATTGAGAGAAAATATTTTTAAAACATTCAGGCCTTAATACTTTTTCCTACCTGGAAGGAAATAATTTTCATTGCAGAAATTTGGAAAACATACAAAAATTGGAACAACAACAGCAAAAAGCCCACTGGTTGACTTAATAGCAACAAATATTTGCTGGTCATCTGCATGCCTGCGATCTACGTTTTAAAACATATACATATCTTTGAGTTATTTTTAAAGAAGGTATTTTTGAGTTGAGATATATGTATAATTTTGTGGTTTTCAAATACTTTAACAGATCTTTCCATATTTCATTAAAGTATTTATATAAATCTTAATTCCTGTTCACAAGACCATCCCTTGCCGTCATAGCTCTTTTTGGTTGAGAACAACTATGGCCCAATGTTGTGACTTCACTCTGGAGCCACACACTGCTTTCTGGCTGTGCGCCCTTGGGCAAGTTACTTCCCCTCTCTGTGCCTCCAGGGGGCAGGGGAGGATCCAAGTGCCCTGGCTTCTCTCCAGGGGGCAGGGCCTACGCCAAAGGCCTGGGAAATGGTGAAGACCTGAAAGAAAAACTTTGGGGGCTGCAAAATATGAAAAGGACAGTGTCACAATCGATAAGTGTTTGAATGCCTTCCGAATGCTGAGCTGCACGTCGACTTTAATCTTTGTGAAGTTCGGTATCCACAGAAATGTCATTATATTTGAAAACAATTTGTAAATTGGGTTTTTGGCAAGAGTTCCAGACTATGCAGGATGATTGAAGAGAAATCATAAGGCCAAAAAAGAAAAATAAATCCTAGCCAATAGTAAACTAAATGAGTTACTCATCGTCAAGTAATTTCAAAAGCAAATTCATAAAAGCCCTTGTACGATGAAAGCCAAGAAGAGTTCTATTTGATGAGGGAATGTGGGTGCATTTTAGCTTCTGTTCCGAGGAGGGTGGGGTCGTGGGGCATCTGGGGTGGGGTCTGTGGAGGGCTGAAAATGGTCCGGCCATCAGCTCCGCCTGTGGTCTAGCCGGGCCCCTTTCTCCCGCTGCCTCCCTAACATTGGGCAGGTTCAGAGTGCCTAGGCGGGGGTCTGTGCAACCCTCGTGTGGCTAGAGGTTCTGGCTCCAGTTAGAGAAGAAGCTGACCTGGATTTGAAACCTGAGTGTTTCCCGGGGCAAGCCCCCCCTCCCCGACTTCCCAGGTTTGGGGTGCTGTGCAGCCCATTTCCAGCCTTGCATGCAGAGCTAGGGTTCAAATCTAAGTCCACTGGACTCCAGATTCCAAGTGGACACACAGGCGTGCGGCTCTGAAGGTCCGGCAAACCCCAGAATCTTGAAAGACCACGCTGTCTGGGAGATCCGAATCCCACATCATCCGAGACGCGGTGAGCGCCACCCGCTGAGATGACAGGCCTTTTGGTCTCGTCAAAGGGAAGAGAAGCCGAAATCTGCCAAGAGGCTGCCCGTGTCAGTCCCGGGTGGCCTGCAGGACCAATAGCCTGCATGTTCTTTTCTGCTGGGAGAGCAGGGCCACCCCGTGTATAGCACCACCCACTGGTGAGGGTGAACCTGAAGAGCTGTCTAATAAAGTCATGTGCACTCTCCTAGCCTCTTTGTCCTTATCAGGCAGCTCCCCTGCTCCGCCCACCCTCCGGCTTCTGCCACGTCTCCGATCGTCCCCACTCCTTCCAAGGCCAGTTCTGTGTTCTCTGATATTTCAGAGGCCCGTCAACTGCTCCTGTTTCCGGAAAATTTCTTGCCTCCGCGTGGGTCGACCCCACTCCCACTGGTCCTATTTCCTTGCTGTCTCCATCTCCATCCTCATGGGGCCCAATGCCTGCTGCTGCTCTGCTCACAGCCCAGAGTCAGGGAGGATTTGGGGACAGAGGCCTGTGCAGGGCAGAGGTGGGGGAGAGGAGAGGAAGGGAAGCTCCTTTGCGGTTCTCCCTGGGCCTCAGTGGGTAAACGGATTAACAGAGGTCAAACTGCAGATGGAGACAGTGCTCACTGGCTGCTGGGGGAGGAGGCGGCCCTGCAGGCCACAGCCTCCATCTGTCACCGCAGCCAGCGATGAATCTGACCCCCTCTGACCCACTCACAGGAGATGCTACTTTCAAGCCTACATCAGGGAATCAAAACTCCAAGCACAGGATTTTCCTAAAGGCTCCCAGCAGTGGCTTGGGAGCGGGGAGTTGGAACAAGTGCCCTAACCCTAACCCTAGCCCTAAACCTACCTCTATCCCTATCCCTATCCCTAACCCTAATCTTGTGCCTTTGCCCTAGCCCCAACCCTAACCCTAGGGCTGGGGAGCACAGCTTGGCAAGCAGAGTTCGGGCTGGGGTTTGGTCCCTGATCACCTGGAGGCTGTTGTCAGTGCACACCTGCCTAATGTAGGTGATGGCCTGGCCCTGGGCCCCTGGCACCTGCAGCCTAAGGGTGCGCGTGCAGCTGCGTTGTCACCGATGTACTGGCTCTCGCAGCTGGGAGGTCTTGGCGGCATCCTACAGGCCCATATACATCAGATCAAGCCACAGTCACCCCTGCTCCGTTCCTGGCCTGTCCGGTAGCTGAACAAGGCTCCGTGCCCACAGAGCTGCCTGAGCGCCTCAGTGCTGTTGGGGGTGGTGGTGGAGGTGTTCATGCCTAGGTATCCTGTGTGTCTTGGGTGTTGGAGCCCCCACTGTGGAGCATCCAGATGCGTGGCTCGCTCCTTCCCGCCCTGCCACATCCTGTTTTTGTGCACAGGTACCTGGCCGGGCTGCGTGGGCACCTGGGTCATGTACAAACCCAGGACTGAAGCTCATCGGCGTGCCGCCTTTGTGTGAGTTAGGAACAGGTGGGCCCTCTGAGCAGACACAGCCCTGTTAACTCACAGAACCGATGGCATCGTTGGGGAGAGAAAAGTGTGTCCCTCCCTCCAGGTGGCTGCAGCTGTGCTAGATCAAGTTCCTGGGTGCAGGCTGCATTTCGGCTTCCATTTGCCGCTTGACTGGTAGCCTTTTGCAGTTCCCAACTTGTCCATAGGGTGGCGGTACTGAGACCTTAGACTTCTGCCTCAGCTGCTGGCTGGGCTGATGGGGCACCCTCTCCAGGCATCCATGCTCACCTTCTTTCATCCAGTTCCCTCCTCCTCTCTCCCTTCTGACCTCTTGTCAGTCTGTTCCATGTTCCAATACTTGAATTGTCTTATTTCATGCCTATGAAATGGTATCCCATGCCTATACCACAAATATTGTTTAAGGTTAGCTTTAAAAAATACGTTTTCTCAGTGGACTCCAGGAATGTTTCTGTTCCAAGCTCAAGATGTGTAAAAAAAAAAAAATGTGTAAACTCAGAGTGGCAAATCCTAATGACAAATATTAGAGGGCTACTTAGAAGGCCAGCACCTGTGTGTGTGCATGGCCAACATGGAGTCAGGATTCTAAAGTCTTGGAGGAGCTTTCAGACTGGCTGGTCTACCAGCGACAGGTGCCCATTGAAACTCGATTTGAGGGGCGCCACTCTGGGTGTAATTGCAGTCTGAGCCTCCCTGAGCCTTGGGGACTCTGCAGCCCAGGGGGGTGGCTGACCGATGCCTGGAGGGGAAGGGAGGGAAGGGAGAGGAGCCTCTTTTTTTGCGACTCAGATTTGTTTCCCGAGCGCACTGTCCACTCCCTCTGACCGGCCGAGGTCTGAAGGCGGACGGGGAGCCAGGCGAGCCCAGTCCGGCGTTCGGCGTCCTGGCGCCCAGACCTCAGCAACCCCAATCCCCGCGGCTCGGGGCGGAAATGCGCTGTGCCAGTCGCTCCCGGCGCTTCAGCCTCCGGCGCCGCGTCATCAGGAGACCGCGGGGATTGGGTAATTGGTGGGGCGGGGGCGGGGCGCAGAGGGCGAGGGGGCGGGGCCTCCATCAGGCCCCACCCCCGACCCGGGCCCTGGACCAACTTGCAGCCCCGCTCTGCTTGAGTGCCCTGCAGGCAGGGAACGCTGACCATGGCCATGACTCTGGGTTACTGGGACATCCGAGGGGTGAGCGAGGGGTCCCCCGGCGGGTGGGGTGGAGCCGGCGGGCGGGCGGGGAGGTGCTGAGCAGCGAGCGTCGGTTCCACCTGAAGGTTCCCCAGGGCTGCCTGGAGCCCAGTCCCCTCCCCCCATCACCACCTGTCCTCCGGCGGGTCAGGGCCAGGGCGAGGGCGCCGGCGCGGGCGCCGGGATGTCTATGTGTTGGGGGAAGAGAATGGGGGTTGGAGTTGGAGCAGAGCGAGCCCCGAGTCGAGCCCTGGGTCTCTGACCTCTGTCCCTCCGTCCATCCGACCCTCCAGCTGGCTCACGCCATCCGCCTGCTCCTGGAGTACACAGACTCCAACTACGAGGAGAAGAAGTACACGATGGGGGACGGTAATGGCATCCCTGTCCCGTTCCGACTTCGGCCCAACTCCTGCTGATTTGGTCCAGAGAACCCGTGCCCGGCCACCTGTGGCTTCCCTCTGCCGCCCTCCACTGGCCGGAGCAGGCCCTGCACCTTCCTTCACCCTCTGAGGGTGGACCTTGGCCTCAGGCAGGGCAGGAGGGGGCCGAATGGGCCCCTGTGTCAGTAACCGCGATGGCCCCCGGGGTTTGCCCGCACTCATGGAAGCCTGGTCCATGGGGTGCCTGGGACTTCTCAGCGTTCTTTCCCCCAAACCCGGGAGAGAGACTCCGTGCTCAGCTTCCAGACTCCCCTGCTCAGGGGCCGGGCCCCTGACTCCCTGGTGGGCCCCGGGGAGAGGGGGCGGGGCTGGGGGTGGTCCCTTCACTCCTTCTTCTCCACCACAGCTCCTGACTATGACAGAAGCCAGTGGCTGAGTGAGAAGTTCAAGCTGGGCCTGGACTTCCCCAATGTAGGTGCGGGGAGTGGGGGGCGGTGGGCGTGGGGAACCTGCCTCTACTCTGAGGCTCCTTCCCGGCTTAGACCGAGGCTTTGGGACCCAGGGCCTCTGCTCAGCCCCCCAGCTCCCTGGTTCTTGTCGCTGCTTCCCCACGATGCTCTGTGTGCAGCTCATTCCTTCATGTGACAGACACTGGGCCCAGGTTTCATCTCTGCCCCCGATGCAGGGAGGGCTTCAGGGTGGCCCATGGCCTCCTGACCTGCCTCTGTCCCCCCGCAGCTGCCCTACTTGATTGACGGGGCTCACAGGCTCACCCAGAGCAATGCCATCCTTCGCTACCTTGCCCGCAAGCACAACCTCTGTGAGTGGGGCTGGGGTGGGTGCTGGGGGACGGGCGGGCCTGGCCCTGGGCTGGGGGGGTGGGAGGCTGAGGCGGAGCCCCTGTTGTGTCAACAGGTGGGGAGACGGAAGAGGAGAAGATCCGCGTGGACATGTTGGAGAACGAGGCGATGGACACGGCCAATCAGCTGGCAAGGGTCTGCTACAGCCCTGACTTTGTGAGTTGCCTCCTGCTGAATGGGGTGGGCAGGCTTTGATAGGAGCTTCGACACATTTGTCACATCTGCATGGTTCTACTTGCCATTGAACTCCTTGGAGCTTCTGATCCTCCACGCTGGTCCCTGTCCTGTCAGCAGAGTGGCCCTCAGGACCCCTAGTGCCTCAAATGAAATCTCTGACTCAGTTCCCCTCAATCTTCGCACAGAGTGCAGACTCCCGCGGTCGAGGTTTAATTTCTACCGGTGTGTGCAGCTCGTTAGCCCCGCCTCCTTGACACCTTTGGGCATCAGCACACTTTCCCAGGAGGCAGCCTGGGGCACCCACAGGGCCTGTGTGCCCCTCACTCCTTCCTTTCAGTCTCTCAGGTTCTCCCCGTCTGTCCAGAAAGTGCTCACGGGTCCTTCTGTCACTCACCAGCTGGGATGCCCTTCCCTGGACCATTTTAGCTCTTTGCTTCTTTCAATCTGCCTGCCGTCTGGGTCCAGGCTCTGCAGGTTCCCCGGCGCCTGGGTCTGGCCCATGCAGGGTGTGGAGATGAGTGGAGACAGGGTCAGGCACAGGCTGGTATCTCTCTGTGCTTCCCAGCTGCCTGTCCCAGCGGGAGGTGGTACCCCGGAGGAGTGCAATGACCACAGGTTGGATTAAATTATAACCTGGGCATTGACCCAGGTGCAGCTGGGGACATGGCTGCCCACTGTGACAGCTGAAGCACAGCCCTGGGAGGCCTGCCCTCTGCCCAGGGAGTCCCTGGCACGGGTGGTGACCGCTGTTTTGTGCCTCAGGAGAAGCAGAAGCCTGAGTACTTGAAGGTGATCCCTGAAAAGATGAAGCTCTTCTCACAGTTCCTGGGGAAGAAGTCTTGGTTTGCAGGGGACAAGGTACGGGGAAGGCTTTGGAGTGGGGGAGTGGACACACTCCTCGTTTCAGAGTTTGGTGCCCATTCACCCTGTGCCTGCCCGCAGCTCACCTACGTGGACTTCCTGGCCTACGATGTTCTAGACCTGCACCGCACGTTTGAGCCCAAGTGCCTGGATGCGTTCCCGAACCTGAAAGACTTCGTCGCCCGCATAGAGGTGATCCCACTGATCCTCTTACTATGTTACCACTTTAGTCTCCTCTTATTCTTTTTTAAAAATACATTTTTATTAATTTCAGAGACGAAGGGAGAGGGAGAGAGAGAAAAATATCAATGATGAGAATCATTGATCAGCTGCCTCCTGCACACCCCACACTGAGGATCAAGCCCACAACCCAGGCATGTGCCCTGACCTGGAATTGAACTGTGACCTCCTGGTTCATAGGTGGATGCTCAACCAGTTAGCCACGCCGGCCCCAGCTCCCCCTTATTCTTGATGCTTCTCTAGTCCTGGAGCTAAAATGAAGCTTAACTAGCATTCATTGAGGACTTGCTTTATGCCAGGATCTGTGCACAGCGTGTTACATATATTGAGTTTAACCTTTAGAACATTCCTACATGATAGATTTATTACCTCCCTTTAACAGATAATGACATGAAATGAGGCTGAAAGGGTAAGTCATTTGCTCAAGGTCACAGAGCCAGTCTGCTGGGTCACAGCCCAGGCACTGGTGCGGGGCCCCCAGTCGGCGGGGGCTTCCATGGGCAGCAGGCAGAGGCCCCCTTTCCTGTGCCAGGAAGGCGAGCTCAGGCCCTCCTCCAGCCTGCATGTCGCAGCTCCGGACTTTGTGGAGGAAGCAGGACGTTCCAGAGTGTGTATGTAGGGAATGAGTAGAGCTGGGATGCGGTAGGGATGACATGAAGTACCAAAGACAGTGTTTCCTCCCTGTCTCCAGACAGCTCTGCAGCCTGGGGTGCCCTCTGGGCAGTGCTGAGATCTCCGGGCTGTCGCCAGCGCTGGGGTCTGCAGTGCGGTTGCCGCTGCAGAAGGATTTTACCTTGGCACCTGTGGTGGGCACTTTCCTTCCCAGCCCTCTCACCGTCTCTGCAGTTACACAAAGAACTGTCTCAGAGATGAGGTGGTTCATTTATTCTCGGCTGTATTCACTGATATGCCCCTCTCCTCTGTATGAGGCACTGTGACAGGCTCAGCGAGGATGCAGAGGTGACCTAGCCCCTACCCCCCGCCCCCCGTCTACCCCCTACGGGCTTCCACTTCCCCCCCCCCCCCCCCCGGGCCTCCTGGGTCTCTGAGGAAGTGCAGGAGGAGTCCCTGCTGTGTGGTCCTGCGGTTCTGCCCAGGTGGTGGAAGTGCACGGCCTAAATCTCATCGCACAGCTCATCATTGGTTACCTTAGTGAACTCACAGATGATCAATAAAGTCCGCTTTGCCTGGCGGCGTGGCTCAGTGGTTGAGCATTGACCTATGAACCTGGAGGTCGTGGTTTGATTTCCAGTCAGGGCACATGTCCAGGTTGTGGGCTGGGTCGCCTGTGGGCAGTATGTGGGAGGCAGCCCATCACTGATTCTCTCTCATCATCAATGTTTCTATCTCTCCCTCTCCCTTTTTCTCTGAAATCAATACAAATACATTAAAAACAAACAAAGTGGGCTTTATCACAGATGTGGGAGCTTGAGGCATCCTTAGGCCCAGACTTCAGCTCACAGTCTGTTTCCCTTTCCCCTCCCCATCAAGAGATCTGCTTTGTCAGCCAGTTCCCATCGGCTCTGGTTCGGGTCCAGGGCCATCAGCCTTGGATATTATGCAAGAGCCGGCGGACTGACTGGCTGGGAGGGATGGGGCACAGCTGTGGGCTGCAGCCTCGGCCTGTGGGGGCCAGGCCTTGGTAACAGGCAGTCCCAGGCCCTTCGAATCCTGTAGAAGTTACTGGACACGCTCTGTCGTGGGAACATGGTGCTCACACACACCGTGTGTCCAAGGCCTGGTTGGCTGCAGGTGGACAGGGATTGAGGCAGGTCGGGGCCCAGTGAGATTGGGCTCAGGAACCAGGCCAAGCAGCTGGACTTTCTCCTTTGAGGGGACTCGTAGGGCCCGGCTCTGCTGCTCCACACCCTGCTATCAGCTTTCACCCCCGTTTTGCTGAGTCATGGGTGAGCCCTGGCCTGCTCTGCAAGCTGCACAGGCACATTCTGAGCCCGTTGTTCTGCCTGGGGTCCCTCCTGGGCCCGGGAAGCGGGAGCCTCCCTGTGAGAAAGGAGACAGTCTGTACAGACGGAGAGGGTCAAGGCCTCCTGTGTGGGCGGGAGGAAGGGAGGAAGGGAGAGCAGCAGAGCACAGGGTGGGAGGGAGAGCCAGGCTGCCTTCCAGCCCTGCCCCCCTACAGCTGTGTGAGCATTTGGCAGGGGCTTCAGCGCTGTGTGCCTCAGTTTCCCTCCTGATAAACGGTGATAGCAGAACCTATCCTGTAGGCTAAGAATGTCAAACTTGCAGCCTGCAGGCCTCATGCCATGTTTATTTAGCCCTTGAGTTTGACATGCTTGCTGTAGGCAGTTGTGCAGAATGTTGTAAACCTGTTTCACAGTCTCTAATGGCTATGAGGCCCCTAGCACAGTGTGGTCTCATATGTGGGAACTGTGCCTAAGATATCACACCAGTTTCAGGAAACTGCAAGAGTTAACTCAGGAGAACTGGGACCCCAGGAAGGCTGTCTTATGCCAGGATCCTGAACTTGGAGTGTCTGGAGTGGGGCTGTGTGAGCCCAGGGGGCGGGGGGCAGCAGACCCTGAGGTCTGGCCTCTCTCCTTCCTCCACCTCCCCACCCAGGGCCTGGAGAAGATTGCTGCCTACATGAAGTCCAGCCGCTTCCTCCCAGCACCTATTTACACGAAGATCGCCGTGTGGGGCAACAAGTAGTGCCCGGAAGTGCAGGGCAGGGCATGGGAGCGAGGAGCACACCGGGACTCGAGAGCAGCTGGACCTCCCTGAACCCGCGGAACCAGCTGTCTTGTTCTTTTCTCCTTTTCTTTCCTTCACCCCCACTCAGGACCCCCAATCCCAGCTCCCCAGGATTTTAGAGCTCTCCAGCACCCCTTGTTCCTGCACAAAGCCAATCGGACGGACCGTCCTTTCGGTGATTGCTCCATTTGGAGTAGCCCGACTGGACCCCCGGCCTGTGGAGCTCAGCCCTGAGCTCCCACCTCTGCTCTGCAGACCAGGACTGCCTGGGGGTGTGCAGGCCCTGCTCCCCCGCGTGGCCCCTGCCCGGCTGCTGAGCCCCAGTGAAGCCTGATCGCACCTGCTGTGTCCTGTCTTAATCCCTCCTGGCCACCGAGCTCACTCTCCAACAGGCCCTGCTGGGCCCCAGCGTCTGACTGTTGATGCTGGCAGTGGCGGGTCCTTGGGGATCCTGGGTGAGACATCTTGTTCCCATTTCTGACACCTTTGGAGCAGGACACCTCATGGCTCTCGGTAGGACATATTCTTGTGGAGGTGGTACTACAGGCCACAGATCACAGAGGGACTTCAAAAGCCGCCTGAGCCACTCATACCCCGAAGCACATGTGTGTCAGGATCCAGGGTCGGGGCTGGAATCCGTGGGCCTGGACAGCTGGGGGTCTGCAAGGCCCACACTGCGGTCCTGCGGGGAGGCCCCAGGCTCCTGGCGGAGCTCCCACCCGCGTCTGATGCCTCTGCAGCAGTGCAGGCGGCTGGTCCCTCAGAGGCCACCTCTTCCCGCTGCACTCGCGCCACTGCACTCACCCCCACACTCTGTGTGACCACTGTGCTCCCGGTTCTGTTCCTCAGCATCGGGGACACCTCGCTGGCGGGGCAGGCCATTTTCTGGGGCTGCGCTCAAACCCCCTGCCTCTTTGCAGGGCCTGGTTCATGGACTTATAACAACTTGCATTCATAGTCGGATGGTTAATTTTTTTTTTGGTTTCTTCGCCTTTTTTATACAGTCTCAAAGGGATGAAAGGGGTATCTAGCCCTATAGTACACACTACGTAGGGGGAAAATTTTTAGTTGCTACGTAGCTCATTCTCGTCGCCCCCTCGTTGGAAAAGAACTTATACCCAAGCAAACGACATCAGAAGGGAGAAATGAACAGAGAACTTACGTGGTTGAGGCCCGATGTTTATTTTTTGGGGCCCCCATCATCGTGGTTTTTTTTTTTTCCCCCACCTCACACCCCAAATTTTAATAGATGGGTCACCCTTCAATGGTAAAAAAGGAGTATTGGTGAAATCCTAAATTCTCTCTCTAGTTTTTCTTCCGCGGAGAGATGTTT